CACCAAAAACTTAGATCAAGGGGCCAAAAGCCTGTATCTACGAACCCTGTCTTCGATATGCGAATGCTATTCTCGTCACCGTTGTTTCAACCCTGCTTTCGATCTCTCCATTCCAACAAATGGCATTTATGTTCATTTGGTGCAGTATTCCCGACTGCAGAACAATAACCCTCAGTTTCGCTTCTGCAGCCGGCTGGAAAGCCCGTTTCGGATCTACCCTTTGATGTCCGTGTGTTTATTCGTCCGCCGCGTGCCTCTGTAATGTTCAGGCATTTTCGTGTGTCAACACATCTCCTTGAAACATCTGTAGGGATGTAGATGGCTGCGAGGTTTGCACGGTACCAATTTGCACTAGAACACCAAATGTCACAATGAACTTGTGGGTGTTCTCCTTCCGACAACTGGAACGCTGTCAACCTAGTCGGTCTTTCCTGGGCGGATCCCCATTGAGTGGCTATTTAACTGTGAAATCTAGTAGGGTTCTTCGTACAGTGACAAAGTCGAATTTATATCGTGATGACTCGTTGTTGGGTAGCATTGTTAGGGTACTTTTGTTAGATTTCTTATGACGAAATCGGCAAAAATACTAACGACGGCGCCACCGGGGTTCATTATTTTTCCCTGGTCACACTTCACCTGGTGTACACAGCTCTCCTCACAGGGCGAACAGTCCGGATAAGGAAAAAGTATGTCGATGAACAATAGGTAGTAAGTCTGAGTTGGTCTTTGAAAAACGCTGGCTAGAAAATTCTTGCCGAAAGAATAATGCCACGTGGCCGAGGTTCCCTGTTTGAGACTACTCACCACCACGACTCCAGTCTCTCACTCGCACTGCCAAATCTCATTGGGATGGAAGGCAACAATCCCAAAGTCACTTTTGAACTGGAGAATGCCGCACTCTTTCATATAATGCAGCACGGTTTTTTTCAAGAATATGCCGTATCATCACGTCCGCGAATAACGAATCTTTGCGGTGCACCGCAGTGGATGGCCCGTTTTTGGCAAACCTCCGCTTTACCTGCCGTTAAGTGGTTGCCCACAAACAGAACCTGTGATCGAACGCAATCGATTCCGCAAGCACTCAGCTCCAGTCACAGACGCCTTAAGAAGTTCGTCAATGGAATCCTTACTGCACCGGACCAAAAAGGTCGCACAACATAGACTTTCACTTTGTTTTAGCTAACATACACGATATTCGGCAATGGGAAACTCAACCACAATATGGTCCGCGAAAACAAGATCCCCTTTGGACAAACCATGCTGTTCTGAAGAATGCACGGAATTATCCTGCTTTAGTTGCGCCTTGGTGGGTGGATCGACTTGCACGTCACAACGCTACCCGTGAAAGGAAGAAGGCCTTTGTTGCGGAGTTATTTACTCGAAACGCATCTTCCTGAACTTTCCGGATATTGATTGACTGTTGCACAAATCCAAGCAAATGCTACAAAGCGATTCCACAAGCTCCGTAATAGATCTCACTTCTCAAGAGATGCCAGGCGGATTTACGAGAAAACATACTACACACATGCCGCCCAATCACCGTTACACCAGTATGTGGAATAATGATGTCAAGCATGTTATCATAAGAGACACAGATGCACACACTGGTGATTCTAAAATGTCTTGAATCCGCATATCATTAGTGCGTGATACACAGCAATCTTATTCCTGTATTTGTGCGATAAAGTTACCCGTAAAATAAGGGCTGGGCGAATATACACTCAATAGGACTAATCTGAACCAAGTCCGATCTAGCGATGTTGTGGAATGTTGGTATCTCGGGTGCGCTGCTTGGTTGTTGGTCAGTTCGCCGAGCTTGGCATTTGGATTGCAAACGTTTCATCACCAATCGAGGTGACATCGCCAGCGCAGGTTGAGTGGGTCCCACTGTGTTTGTTCCCGAATCATCTGCATTTTTCGCAAATATAAACAAAATATTTTCAAATGAGCTCAGATGTACGCAAAAGCT